ACAAAACGGTTGCTATCAGGATAGTGAAATGATGTTTTCCGAGGAAATCACTGGCAAGGGTAAGCCGCTCATGGTTTCTTCGGTGCAGGCAGAAAATTGACCAAGATCAGTACTCAAACAGCGTACTGATGGAAGTAATGAAGCGCTGACCCGACTGCGTTTTCTGATACATCTCGTAGCCCTTCCAGCAGGACGCTACTCCAGTCCACAGAACTAAGCTTGCCCGCGAGTGGTGCCAACGACAGCTGCCCTACTTCATTGATGAAGAGGGATGGTCATCCTATTCTCCAGAACTTGACTCACTTGACCATACGAATGGTCCCTGGTTAGAAGAGGGCCTGTCGAGCTTGCAGTCCTAGTTTGGAGTCCTAGAATGCAAAGGCTGAAGAATGGCTGGGAAGAAATCAAGGAGGATACCTGCGTGCCACAGGCGATCAAGTCGAGAGCAAACTTTGACGTCTATCCGCGCTCATAGGGGATATTTTTAAAGGCGACTGTAGCATGTTGTAGCACATAGTGTTAGCTAACGTGCATAGAGATTTCATCGTCTTTCGCAGCTGAGAAGATTGAAATATATTGCTATAAATCGGCGCCAATAATTTTGGGACACCCTGTAGTATGAATTTGAAGCCACCTCGTGTACTACATCTACTGCTATTAGGTCGGAAAACGACCTATGTAGGGCGTTATAAAGGCTCAAAAATGTATTGTGTGCATTGTGTGCCGAGTTTCATCGGCATTATAGAGGCTGCACCAATCACAGGGACCCCATGTAGGAAGTTAAAACAACTTGTCATGACAAAAAGCGACAGTGGAAGGCAGTTCTGTACAGTTCTGGCTTGATGAAGTCAGCTCTTCGCACAATTGCAACAACTGAAATCTCGTCCGAATACCCCTTCTATGTTACTTCCGTCATGGCAATCTCCTCTAACCTCTATCTTCCCTTTTTTTTGAGGAGTCACATTTTTCTCGAAATCGGCTAGTTCTCCCGCTTTCTTCACTACTGGTGGACTATTCCCAACCTATACTTCCGCTTTCCGTATAAAAAGTGGTACCTCAAAATTATCGCGAACTGTGTCTTCAGGAATCTGTCCTCCGAAATGGGACTCGAGTTCAAATTCCAGGGCTGGGATGCGGTTCTGAGGCTCAGCGCAATCAACGAGAGATGGATAAAGAAAGGAAATAGGGCATAGGAGAATCTTGTTGGGATTTGGGACAGCATTTCAATCAATCATAAATCGAACAAGTAGAAAATAACAAAGTGGAAAACCGCGATACTTGACAGCTACGGAGCAGAGGAGAGAACGAGTCGATGAACTGTTGTATAACAGAAAGCGTCATGACCCGGAAGTTAAGCGGGGTCTACTTCAGTTTTCACCATTGGTTTTGTTCAGTTCCTTCAAACACCCTTTTTTAGATCCGTTCGCACCTACACTCCAAGAAATTCAAGCAAAAGCAACGGGTCTATAACTAATTTGATGGTGCTGCCAAGTCAGGTACTGCACCCATAGCTGTGATGTTTTGCTCAAATCTCACAACAAGACCATCAAAATCAGTACATCCACCTGTCACCATTTTTGCGTTCCCGACAATAATACCCGGCGTGATCGAGTTGGACACCACTTTTGTGTGACTACCGTGTGGTTGGCTTTTGACACTTCACAGCCAATCGATCATCGTAGGGACGTCGTAAATTCTTGCCAACATCAATCCCAGACTGGTACACTTTAGCTGTTTTCCAATTTGCAAGAAAGTTTGATTGATCGGGTGGAGTCCGTGTGCAGTCCAGCATGCAATTCATTTTCACAAAAAGTGAAATTTTCTTGGCTTTTCAAAAAAGTAATCCAGTTCCATCCAAAACTTGGAAATATGGGCAAAGGCTACATAGGACTAGACCAACAAACTATACGAAGGATTCAACCGCGCTTCGTGAATTTTGCGCATGGACTCATAACTCACCACAGCCTAAAGCAAGATTCTTAAGAGGCCGAGCTCAGATCGAAGAATTTGTCTCTGTTCGGTCTCTCTTTGTTGTGATGCACGTGCTAGGGTGAGGAGCCCAACTGGTTATAATATAAAGAACTATTATAGCTTCTTCAGAAAGCCAGTTTTCAGAAGTTATTTGGGACGGAAAATAAAATCTGGTGACGAACGTTTTGGAGAGATATCAGAAGCCTACATAGAGTCAAAGTCTCTGGCCAAGTATTTCCTATAAGTCATTGACGTATTCGAAGGGACTTAGATGAATACCTTTGATGTAAAAGGAATGGAACGAGGGGAGCGACTGAATAAAGTGCAGCAGAAATTTTTTGCCATCTGGTATGCTAATAAAAACTGTGGGCGATTTATGTCGAAGAGTTTAAGACACTTCCAGATTGTTAAAGACTCCCGGATGGCGATGCTTTTCAATGTGAGATCGCTTATTATTCGGCCATGCTGCGAACACTTCAGAGACTCTATTGCTCACATTCGGAAAAGGGACAATGCCTCGAACGTTTGTAAGAAAGTAAGACCTACCCTCAGCAATGAAGGTCAAAGAGAGAGAAGTGAAAAAAATACACCAGAATAGCTTAAATTCAGAGACGGAACAACTAAATTTCAAGGGGTTAGACTGAACGTATCGGAATCTAGCAAAATGCAATCCAATAAAAAAGAAGTTGCAAACAAAATGTCAGAAGACATTTATGCTCATCCAAAGTAGCAAAAAACAGTTAATAGAGTTACTTCTGCTTACCTCATTCAGTCTAGTCTGTAACCGGTCAAGATTAGTGCTTGCTTCGAGTAGTTCTCGTCGCAACCGTTCGTTATCTTCAGTGAGTTCTAGTAAAGCATTCACTTGTTCTCCAGATGGAGACCTGAAATGATGAAGATTTCTTTTTGAAAATTATTCCAACGAGTTGAAGTGTGTAGGCAAAGTGCGAAGCGAAATTGGCATGGAGCGAAACTAGTTAAGGATTACGGACATGATTTGCATGATAACGAACTGAATGAGACTCTTCCTCATTGCCCTCCACAGTGACCCCCTATGATTGGCTATTCTCTTCATTCGGTTCTACAATCTTCATTCTTTTCGAGGTATCGCAGCAGAAAACGCTCCTTCTTATGCTTGTTCACCCTATAGGACCGGACTTAACTAAGAACTTTCCTCGGTCGGAAAGATGCCCACTGAAAACATCTATCAGCACACTATTCCTGTCCTTTCACCACTGCGCAGCCTAGGATTGGAGGTATAAACCATCGTCATGTCTCAAACAAAACCCTGACGGTGGATTGCGAGTTGGTAGGAAGGATGAATGTTTTCCGTTCAACAAGGAACAGGCAGTTGCCGCTCCCTAGCTTCAGCGAAAAAACCTAAAGCATGAAAATGAAGTTTGAAGTTACCGGCATTGGCTTGTTCAATTTCAAGCCCTCCTCTGTCTTTCTTCCTGAAGGAAATTGTCAACCTAACCGAAAGGTCAACAGGTGGGGATTCTTTCACCGTTTCTTATCTTCACTCTGGTTTAGGAAACATCTCTCGACAAATATTCGTTCAATCTAGTTTTCGGTAGTTTTCTTAATATTCTGAGAAGGTTCCAGTAGTTCTACTTCAAAGTCTAAAGAAATGAATCACACCTCCACGACTTTTCATCAAAATCGTTGATGAGGACGACAATGTGTTTTTGAATAGTTGTATAGAATCAAAATAAATGATACTAGGAAAAGATATGAGTAGAACAGCCTGAGCTCCTCATTTCCATTCTAGACTGTGCCAGGCATTCAACTTCTAATCGTAATCGAAATAGGACTTAGGAAGTTTTTATTGAAAACAAGGTCATCATATAAAAAATACCAGAACCCGAAATAGAATTCCACTATTTAATCTCGTATGAACTACAAAACTTCATATCAAAAAGTTCCCAAACACACGCGTGATACATATTATCACCACCTCTGGACGTTATATGTCTTTTACTAGGACGAATTTGAAAAAATGAGCGAGAAACGCGAGCTGGCATTTCCCATTGCTTTTTTGTTATAATTCAATTCACTGGTGAATTAGTGGCTTTAAGAATTACTCTGAACTCGCCTGACAAAATTCATCTCATCAAGCTCCATTAGGCTGTAATTTGAAAACTCAAAAAACTACATCCTAATTTTGTTTGTTTTAATGAAACACCTCGGAGTTGAAGAGACTTTCCGTCTCATTGTCAGCCTAAGAAGGTAGCAATCAAGTGGCTAGACGATCAGATCGCTAGTGACTATGTCTAAGAATTTCGTGGCTTACGTGATCACAGACGAGGGTTATTTCCGTGAAAAGGAATACACTTGAGCAGAGCAAAGCGAACCCTATTACAGTGCTGCTTTCATAACGTTAACGGTTCTTCAAAATGCAAACTATTAGAAAGTTCGTAGGTAGATCATATTCTCGTGAAAACTCAGCAGTCCCCTTCACTAGCCGTATGTTTATCACGACTGGCTTCCCAAGTCGTTGATGAAGGCGTCGCATCCATCGGGATTATGCGATCAGGCTGTTCGAAGCGCTACGGATTCTTAATGCACTAAGCCCTACAGCACGGCGTTTTGGAACATAATAGATGTGCTTTGGCATATGAAACTCGAGCGAACTCGAGCTCCTTGTGTGGTGTTGATTGCGTCTATACAGAATCCCTTGCACTTTACGATTTCTGATAATTCGAATTGCTGAGCTCCTGATATAGGCTATCCTATACAGTTCTTCCCAAAGATCTGGAAACAACTGGATTAGGAGCTCGTGATGCCCTTTTGGATATGGAGAGTCACAGACTTTACGTTTGGGGTGCTTTTTCATCAGCAATTAGGGAAAAGCTGTTCAAATACTTTTGGTTCCAAAGAAGCCGAGCAATGCGAGTTGGTCTAGCCATTGCTAAATATGTTGCCATCCACGGGGAAGTGATTTGAGCGTGGAGTCAAGCCCTTAGAGATAGCTAGTGCTAAAAAATAACGCCAAGAAATTTTCACCAAGAAATGATCTACGCCATTGAAAGCACTTCTCCTTGAAAAGCGGCCCCTATCTTTCGTGACGGTGCAACTGGGTTCGATAAGAAAGAGGGAATCTCCTCACAGAAGTGAGGCTTGCACCAGTACTTAGGGCCACGTCTTGGAGGAGTTGCTCATCTGTTCTCAGATGACTAACGGCTAATTAAAACCCCGACGCATCATCGAATGTAGACCTCAATCATGGAGCTATCGCACAACTGCCTTCTCATACTTATATGGAATAATTCTTCATTTGTGAAATTGAATAAATCACAGGGTCTGTCTTCCAGAAGTAAGCCTTCTCAGATCTTTGAGATAACATGAAACCTAGGTGTTCGAACAAAACAATGATTTCGCTTTTTTTGAGCAGTTCTTTCACTACTGTATTCTGATGGATAATGATCGAAGAAAGGAACACATCCAAGCGTTCTTCGTCTATACATAACAAAGGGCATTATTCACGCCAACGACAGCAGGATCGCTCGTGGAGCAGGACCACTGGCAATTGCATTTTGAGAAACACGGAATCATTGAACGCTAAGCCAGCGATAAATACTTAACCAAATTTGATGTACGTTTGGCCTGGAACCTTCCTCATTTTTTGCCCTACTTTCCCTTAAGAGCTTGTCATGAATGTCTGGTGCTTCGAATAAATATAGCCCTGATAGAACACCACAAACAAGCCTTTTCAAACGTTTCGTCGGACATAGCCACGAATTGACCGGCCAATCCGGAACCAGATGCAGTATATCGGGTTGACGACACTGACAAGGGCACACTAAGACTTCGGTAGTGAGCTGACGGCATTGTACCCTTTCTCCTATCCATGTACTCCTGTTAATGCTTCTCTTTCGATAATCCCGACCATAAGGAAAACCCCGGTCGTCATAAAAGCTTATATCTTATCTACTCAAAAAGGATATTTTCACTGTAACAGACCGATAGGATAGTTGCGAACAGCAATAACAAGCTTTCGCCTCCAAGCAATTCGAGGCACTCTGCTTTTTTGAGATGTGCCCTTTTCCGTAAGCCTAACTTGGATACAGCTAAGTCGGCTTACTACCCGATCTTTGTAGCTGGCCATGGTTACTTTTTATTTCTGGAAGAATCTAACCGAAAGGGCAGCCGCCTCCAGCCTGAATGTTAGAAAGCAACATTCCAGAAATTTCCCTTCTGGTAAAACCTAGCTTCGCTCCATTCAGCACAATTCTACCAAAAACTTGCTCCGCTTGGTTCCTTCCTGAGGAAAGAGATAGACGTACTTAATCGGTTGCAGCGGTTGTTGGAATGTCGAGATCAGATCGAACGTCACACGTTTCCGATTTTTCTTCCGAAGGCTCGAATCCCATTCAAGACTTTTACCCTGAAAACCAAAAGTTGAAAGCTGATTTACGATCGATGGAAGTTCTAATGAACTCACCAAAAAAGAGCTTGATGTGTTCGGAAGATCTTCATCGTCATCTCGCCTGTTGGATCGCTCGAGCGCTTCGCTGGGGTCGAGGGGAGGAGGTGAAGTGTTTGCTGTTCCTTCAACAAAGAATCTCATTTCCGTACCATAAAATAAAACTTCCATTCTGCATGACTTCCTCAGGTACCGTACTCGTTGACTTGCGCTGGCTTAGAAAAATATCTCAAAAAAAAAAATGGGGTCACTCGAATCAATTTGGCTCCTCTTGCCTTCTAACATAAGCTCTATCCTCCAAGTAGTTATCAACGCCGTACATTGATTTTCCCAATTCCAGCTATATTCGCACTTTTTCGAAGGACTCAACCCTTAGATGCATGCTCATTTCTGGCGGTAGGTAAAATCCTACACTCCCAGGACCACACATACCTCCTTTTATCATCGTGGTGGCATTTCAGCACCACTTATCAGCACCCAGAGATAAGCGTAATGATCTGTGACCGAACAATAATAATCTCAGGATAGGAATCTAATAGAATCTCAGAATAANGAATAATTTCAGGCAGAACAGCGGGACAATCCGTAAAGCATACTCGATCACTGCAGGCGCTTGTGATAAGATCCCAATTCAACTGAGTCCGTTTTGAAGCGACAACAACATTTCAAGGAATCTTTCAATAATCGCATTCCCTGGAACTCCCTCCAGCCAAAGCTTACTTATAGGGATCATCTTTAGCAAGCTTTCTTAGAGGGAGATCCACGTAGCCGGGTGGAGCAAACTGTATGCCAAGGAGAGGTATATCAAGGAGGCATTTATCTCAAAGGTGCCGATAGGAGTTACCAATTACATGCCATGCACTAGTTTAGAATAATGGACTTCACAGTCAACATTGTTTACGAGAACAGTTGTAACCCTACATTTCCCATAGGTTTCCTTTCACCCTCTGCTACATTTATGTTTTCTCAGATAATGGAAAACCTTAATAACTCCGCACAAACCTCTACTAGGTACAGCTCGCCCTGGAGAATCGCTACGAGCACGACTCTCCTGCACTGGCCTGACTGCGCTCCACAGCGACGCATCCGTTTCCGTACCAACTTCACGTCTTTCACGATTCTTATCCTAAAAATTGTCATCCAAACAATTGAGTCTAATGCAACCCTCGGGTTTCGAGATGTCTTTCGATACTTGTGAAAGAAAGTTTTGGATCCTTACCTCCCACTGCCTTTGGACGATTCGCGCTGCCTGTGATGTCACACTGGCAACTTCGCCTTGTTCGCGGCATAACTCCTACAAAATTCCTATTACCAAGCGTTTACTTAAAAGAACTTCAGGAAAATCAGTTTAGCTGAGAATGTCGATAGCGAACGATTGCGGCAACACGAAAAAATCCAGAAAAAACTATTTCACTGGAAATTGCTACATCGCAGTCCGAAATTTCAGAGCCGCAGCCACCCAGGTGTTATTGACACCCACTCGTACCTGTAAATCAAGGATCTGCCTCTCCTTGTCCAGGATGACATTGTTCAACTCAACAATTCGTTCGTCCTAAAAAAAATCGTTTACTTCTTAAATCAAAAGTAAGGGTGGCAAAAAAACCTTGAAGAGCATTTGCTGATGGATTCGATCCATGTCGAGCATTTGAGCTGCACGTTTTCGTTCCTGAATTTCAACTGAGCTGAGGGGTTGCAAAGTACGGAGCTGTTCTTCCATGTTCTGAAAAGTTCATTCATATGATCTGGAACGAATAGTAGCAAATGGAAAGGCAAACATCGAGTTATCGCGAACAAACTTCGAATTGAGAAAAATAAAAATTCTCCAAATTTTGCTGACCGCTCGTCCGAATACAGCTGCTCACCTTAATCAAGATTTGCTGATCATTGAGTTGAGTCTGCTTTCTGGACAGCTCCTTCCTCAAAACCTCGGCCTCTCGATTAGCCGCCTCCATTGCCGTCTCATTTTCAGCTAGGCGAATCAAAAGCAACGCGTTATTCTGGAAAAGAATAATCTCAATTTTGGTAATGAAAGATTCTCGAATTCACTGTTCCAGGACTATCCCCGTCCTCCTATTAGGATCAAAGCCCTCTCCCGCCCCTCACCACCNCCCCCCCCCCCCCCCCCCCCCCCCCCCCCCCCCCCCCCCATTATCCTCCCTACCCGCGCCCTCCATATCCCCTACTAGAAGGTTTTTACTAAACGTTCAAGAGCTTGTTTCGCGGTTCAATTGCAGCCAAAAGAGCAGTGTTATAGACGTTAGAGCAACTTAAATGGCTCGAGTAAGACACGACCTATGTAAGGGTATTTCCTCAACTTTTTGAACGTTTCTTGTAGCAAAATCCCCTATACGAAGCTGTAAAGAGAGCAGAACTCGAACAGGAACTGATCAAAGACGAGATGCGCAATGAATATAACGTGCCGTCACTGGGCCTCGAGCACCGCCAAGCTATCCCAACCATTCATACTTATCATCAAAGGCTCCAAGAACACATGAAGAAATATGATGCGTTCCGTCAAGGATGTCCAAATCAAGAAGTGTGAAATCCCCAGCAGGACAGGTACAAAGCGACTCGGTATTTCTCTAAAAATGAGTGGGAATGCTTGCCTCTTTCTCATTGAGTGAGAAGCCATGTTCAGTACAATAAGCATTCACTTCCTTACGTAGTTGATCAAATTTGACTTTCGTCTTGAGTTTATACTTATTGAAGGCGGCTTGAAATTCCTGAAACGTGTGATTTTAATTTTGATATTGAACCCGAGGTAGTAATGAAATCTCTCTGACTAGAGCTGATCGAGGATAATCAATTATTTTATTAAAACCAACAGTGAGTTCGTGCTCCTTGTGAGCGAGGCGCTCAGCGTAGAATGCAACATCGGAAGCCATTTTCAGTCAGTTCAGTACGTCAACTTCAGCTTAGCACATTCTGGAACGGAAATTTAAGAAAATCACCGCCTCATATTCCCTTCTCCAACAGTACGAGGGAATGCCGTCCTTGCTCCCATGGCCGACTAGTTACAACCAGAAAAACATGATGAGAAGAAGTGTTAGCGTGAACGATTTACAGGAGAGTGAAGGTTCGTCCAGATAGCCAAGTTCATAGTAGTATCAACTACTCCCTTGACCTAAAACGATCAGGATTCAGAAGGTATCGGTTGTTCCACGTCATGGTGGCGGGCGGTAAAGGACGAGACGCCGGCCACCAACCAGGCCGCCGCTGCGATCGATTAGTAAACAAGGCGACTGACTGGGCCATCCACCCGGACGGACATCACTTGAACTTAGAAAGCTTGCTTAAGATTTTATGACCAACAGCGATAACGATACAATTGCTTTGAGAGCAACGTGAAATGAAACCGTGCAGAAGTTCCAGGTGGCACTTGGGCACAGACGGCTGGCAGCTAAACTGCAAGCTGTTGATTTGCTTCTAGTCCCGCCGTGAACACCCACTCACTCGTTTGACAGCGGCTGGGGAACCGCTCGTTCGATTAGAGCGGGTGCTTGGTATCGTGCCTACTTTGGGAGTTGATCGTTCATTAACAAGTTTCTTCAATGGGGAACGTATGGGCACATTCCGTGGGACGCATAAGAAATTACCACTTGTGATCTGTTCCCCGCCTAATATGTTCGGATCAGACCTTGACCTTGATTTGATCTTTGAAAACTCTGAAACGGTCAAGAAGGCTTGATAAGCGGATATCCATGAAGGTATACTGTAGATCACAACAAAAAAATAATCAGAATAAAATTTTTTTAGGGGGTTTTTCTCCTTATAAATCGGTAAGTTGTGAGACTGTGAGCAGAATAAGTTATACTAAAGTCAGTTTTTCAGTCTGGCCCCTTTCACTTATGTCAGCTTCCCTATTTCCCCATAAACACTTTCAGAAATCTGCTTCACAGCGTTTTTTTTTTGTTCAATACCCCTGATCATTCTTGCGTAAAATATGATAGGCTCCCAAGAATCAACTCCATCGTTTGGCGAAAGAAGGCATAATTCCAACGAGAATTGGCGAGGTTTCGATAAAGACGAAGTCAGTATTCTATAGCAATAAAGTTAAATTCCAAAAAAATGTCCAGGATGATAAGTAGTAGTCCTACTCTATATAATTCGTTGAATATGTGTGTGTGGCGCATGTATGTATGTATGTGTGTATGTATGTATGGATGAACATAGCGCCTTTTAGTTAGGTCTTCTAGAGCTCGCGTCCTTTGATGGGACTCCGTCTCTTTTCTGCTCTAGAACTCGTTCCAGAACCATGCTGCCTTCTCTCCTCAGCATCCGCCTCGAAACCACTCAGAATCATATATGATCCAGAAGTCAAAAACTAGAGTGATTGAACTCATCTGTGTTTCTAGGCACTGCTGCTGTTCCTTGCAACCTTCGTTACCTCGATGACTCGAGTAGCTCAATGCCGGACTCTGGACAGTCAAAAAGCGAAGTATCACCTTTCGCGACTATCAAGCTGCTTCACAAGTCTCCCTTGCACACGTGCACATTGCATTATGGTGTCCACAACTTTCCTTTGCTGTAAGTCTGCGCGATCGGTTCCTGGAGATCTGGAGGACAATCTTTCAGTAGATGGAACTTGATGGCTACGTCTACTAAAGAAACCTCTGGCGCAATGCAGAAAAGCCGCAAACCATTTCAGCGCCAAGTATTTTTTGATATCCTTTATTGTCTTGTGAGGTAATCTTCTGAAGAATACACGGTCTGTTCTCATTTGTCTCCCTCCACCGCCGTAGTTCACCCTCTAAGTCTTTCCATTCTCGAAATACATAGGTGCTCTAGACTGCCCTCATTTTTCGTCTTGAACTCCTATTCCTTTATCTTCGCTGAGTTTCGACAACTCGACTACGTCTCTGGACAAATCACATTTGGGAAAGCTCCTGGAAATCTTTTTTCGCGCATATGGTTCATGAAAACCAGTTCGAAGTTTTCCCTGGCAGTGGCTTCTGTTGATTCCTTTACGGAAGTATAGTAGGAGGAGGAGGAGGATCTCCAGAAGCTTGTCATAGGTTCTCGTAAAAAGAAAATTTCTGCGGTTGCACACAAGGAAAAAGCTCCCGAGGAAAACCAAAAAAACCGCAATTTATGCTCCGAATTCCGGTCTAGTCAAAGCTGAATTATCGTATTATTATTTTATTATTGTCTGCTGCTTTTCTCAAAATCGGTGAAACATCAGTAGTTCGAAATGAGCATTCGAATTTGTGAGGTTACGATATTTGTGGGCTTCATATACCGGAAGTCAAAGGCAGAGTTCACGATAATTCTGATGCACACATTTCGAGCTGAGAAACGGAAGTGTTGATGAAGAAGAATGAATCGGGATAAGGAAAATAAGATAATCCACCTTAAAAAATAAAGTTCCCTAAAAGTTGTGCAAGTACAGCTTGTACGAGATTACCATGACAGAAATGGCATAGAAGGGACATTTGAAAGAGATTTCAGTTGAGCACTTGCGTAAAGAGCTGACTACATTGAGCCAGAAATGTCCAAAACTGTCTTTCAATGTCGTCATGGGCCATGAAAAGTTATTTGAAATTCGTCATGGGTATCCTCTATGAATTGGTGGACAGTCGCTAAAATGCGTTTCGAAATCGCGACGCAAATGGCTACTTAGATTTTCCTATAGGAGGAATCCTGTGGCACTGCCAGGTCGGAAAGTCAGCACAGTCTCTGGATGCCTTAGGAAATCGTCTGCGTGTGGGCGTTTGGGTGTGGCATCCCATGCAATCGTTGATTCCTTGTTACGCCCTATCCAGGCCATTTCCGACCTGGCAGGACCACAGGATTCATCCTACAGGAATATCTCAGAAACCATTTACGCCGTGAACTGGACATTCATGACAGAGCGCAGTAAGAGCGTAACGTGCACTCCAGATCTAAGGAGACGCCTACAACCCTCGAGTAAATCATCCGTCGTAGTGGACGAGTCTTCGTCTTCGCCAGGCTGTTTCCCCTGAAACTTCTGCTTGCTTCTATCTGCAGACATTTTTCATAAGCAGTTGAGAAGTGTACTTTGATATTCAGGGGTATGCAATACAAAAAAGTTCTCTCGTCCCACTTTTTTATAAAGAGGCGAAGCTAGCTGCGAAGACATGTATGGGTAAGATACTACAAGCTTCGAATACCGTATTATATTGGTTCTAACTCTAATTTGAAACCCAAAGACTATGAATATTGGCCTTGTCTATCGCAGTCATTTTCAGGCTTTTTCTCATATTCAAAATAGCATCCTATCACCTGCTACACACGCTATTCTCTCAAAAGATTGGAGATGTTATCCAACTTGTTAATGTATTGTTATTGCATTACACCCCCATTGTTGTGTAAACAAAATATGCTCCCTGGAAGAGCTCCCACCAATTGTGATCAAGTAGCGCGACCCATTCTTAACCTAACGTGTTCCACAAGTGTAGTAGCTCATGTACAGAACTGCTCTCCTGCTGATTACTGAAACGTTATTTCCTATTAACGAACTGATGAGTAGGCAACTGGGAACCAACCATCCTCTACGAATCATCGCGAAGTAGGGCACGGCCCAGCACATGTACGTACGAGTCCCACGCCCACGGTGGCTGAATGGACGAGTTTCCCACTCGCCACGCCTTGGATTGATGTGTGTCTGGCAAATCGACTCTTTTCAGTTTGTGGAAGGCCTTTGATTCTACCGATTTTCACCAAAAATATGTCATTTTCGGACTCGGATTCCGACTATGAACTGGACGATTCAGTCAGGATAGGTAGGGTTTAGCTTTCGGCAATTATTCCGCTTGGAACCCTTGTTTATGGCCTTGTCTGTGTGCTATCAGCTTGTCTAAACTAAATTGTTTTATTAATTTGCTTTTACTTCGAATAAATGACCTTTAGGTTTTCGATTCTAACTAGCCTAACTAGAAGTGATTGTAATTGTACCAATATTTTCTATCATTTATGCAATATCGTGTAATCTTCCAGAATGTTCTTAAACTGTAAGCAATAGTATTGCTACCCACAACTGGTCCTACTTTCCTACTTCATTGGAACATTTTCTTGCTCGAAGAACAAAATGAACAGGGAAAGAAAACAAAATAGGGGAGTGTGTGTGGGAGGGGGGGGGGGGGG